TTTACACTAGATTCCCGCGTTAATTTGCCAATTCCGCAATTCTGTAATTGCAAAAATTTTGGGCCTGTAGAAGTCATTTTGGCAGCAGCATATTTATTCTAATAGGTTATTCTTTGCCAACATTGGTGCAAGATTAAGGTTTGAGGATGAAAAATCAGCAAATCTCATGGCGCATTACATGTTTAATAAATTTAATGATTGTTACAGGAACATCGAGCATCCTGCTTTTTATTTTATCTAAATGCTGCAGAATAATGCCTTTTTTAGAGAAGGGGTCTCATAGTCCAGTTTTCAGGGGCATATCCATATATCTCAGATCATAAAACGATTAAATCAGAGAAATGTTGACTGTTTAGAGATAGAACTCCAGATTTATGAAGAAAATTAATTAAAATAGAAAATCTTCCTTTGTTCAAACTGTTATATATATATATATATATATATTATTTTTTTTTTCTGTGCAGCAAATATGAAGATGATGAGGACAGCGACGATGAGGAAGCAGCCAAACGAAGAGAGGTGAGTCGCTTTTCTGCTTGAATGAATGATTTTTATTTTATTAAAAAGATAAATCGGATTAAACATCATCGTCTTCCTGTGGAACAGAGGGCAGCCTCGCCAAGCTACATCCAGGAGCAGAAGGAGATCAAAGAGAGGTGAGATCAGACGTCCTTTTAGCTTTTATGGGCCCGCACTCGGATGCCGTTTAACAAAATCCAAACACCCTGCAGCTTCCGGAAGCTGGTTCAGGACAGCGACGATGAGGGTGGCGAGGAAGGAGGAGCGTCAGAGCTGCTAACCAGGAGGATCAAAACGCAAGCAGAGAAGGTCAGAAAGCTCTCCCTGCTATCAGGAGGGCTCACCTTTTGTCGCTGGATTACAGAAACCAGATTTCCTGTGTTTTAGGACAAAGAAGAGGCGGATTATTTGGAGTGGCTCAAAGGCCAAGCGGAGCTGGAGGGTCCGGAGGAGGTGAAGGACATGGTGAGGTCACAGAACGGACTAGAAGGCATGAAGGAAGGTGATTTCTGTTAGGAGGACCTGGATTTAAAAATTCCTTCATGTTTTAATAGAAATACTTGCGGGATTACTGGAATGACCCGGAGCTGGACGAGAAGGAGCGATTCCTTAGAGATTATGTGCTTAATAAAGGCTACCTGGATGAGGAAGAGGACGATGATGAACGGTGCGCTGCACAGATCTGATTTTTCTAAATGATATAAAAATCCATTAAAAAATATATATATATTCTTAAATTTGGAATTCTCTCACCCGCTCAGGATCCCAACGTACGACGAGGTGGTCCAGGACGATGTGGAGGATTCGGAAGAGGAGGGCGAGAGTTTCCTGGAGCGTCAGGAGGACTTTGAGAGGAGCTACAACTTCCGCTTTGAGGAACCCGGCTCCACGCAGATAAAGACTTACCCCCGAAACGTCGCCACGTCAGTCCGCACCAAGGATGACCGCAGGAAACGCAAGAGGGAGGAAGTGAAGGAAAGGAAGCAAAAGGTGTGTTTATACAAACGCTTCATTCACAGAAGCCCCCCCCCCCCCAAATTTCATTTCACAAACCTCTCCTGTTGCGACTGATTTCAGGAGAAAGAGCAGAAACGGGAGCAGCTGAAGCAGCTGAAGAACCTGAAGAGGAACGAGATCATGGAGAAGCTGAAGAAGCTCCAGGAGCTGACGGGGAACGAGCAGCTGGCTTTCAGTCAGGCTGACCTCGAAGGGGAGTTTGACCCAAAACAGCACGACCAGCTCATGCAGGTCAGGAGATAACACTGAACGCACAAACAACCCTTTACTTCTACACCTGAGCTCAAACTGAGCATCTACAGTCATGGCTGTCTAGTCTCCCTCTTTAACCAGAAAACTACAGTATTTTAACCCTGTTTCCCGTCATCCTCCCTTATTATCAGTCTCCCAAAAATTCCTCTATTATTGTTTTATAAAGAATACTTAAAGTCGTAGGGAAATCATATTTAAATGTCAAATCATTCAGGCTTAAACATGTATATAAATGTACTCTTTATCAGACTATATTCTCCCAAAGGTTAGAAAATGTCTATAAAAAAAAAATCCCATCTTGAACACCTACATTTGACCAATCATATATCAAAGGTCATCTGTCAATCAAATTTTTTCAGTCATAGCATCTTGATTCATAATTATAGCTAATATACGCAATGGTTCAAATAAGAAAGAAGAATCATTCCTTTCCCATTGAGTTCCGTCCCAGTGTTCATGGGGATGGACGTCTGTGTCTTCAGCAGGCGTAGAGCTAACAGAACTGGCAGCGTTGCGAGGCAAGGACTCAAACATGTACGACTGGAAGCCTCCTACACCAAACCAAGCTTCTGCCGCCCTGGCGTCCTCTTCCACTACATCTTCATCCCCACTTTCCTCCTCTAAATAAAAAATGGATCACGGAGGAGACTCATCCACGACCTCCGACACTAAATTCTCCTCTTGCATGTTTCCTCTGTCCATAGCGTTCCTTGACAGTGTCGTTTCTAAGTCACCAATAGGCGGATTTCAGTCACGTGATGATTATGACGCGGTGAGGGGGCGCGATTTCAGATGGAGGGCAGGAAGTCTATGAAGTTAGTGTAAACATGGAGGATACCGTTACCGAGAGCCCGTATTGAATGGAGTTAGAGCCTGTTTCAAGACACAGATACAAGGAGTTGATATACAGATATGTTGGACGTGACCCGTACCTCATGAAGATGAGGGAGTTTTCGGTGGACCTTAAAGATTTGCCGACAGTGGAGGCCGTTGACATAACGAACTATCTGGTCCTTCAGACTTCGTATTAGAAGGATGGAGATGTCATTGCAGCTCATTGCAATTGCATGGCAGGGTAAGTAAGGCTAGAATGTTTACCATTAGATCTCTCTCTCTCTCACACACACACACACACACACACACACGTAGCACTACTACTAGCATACTGCCAGTGTACTTCAGAACCAGGGAGAGCTGTAACGTTAAGGGGTATACATCAGTGTTTCCCGCAGCACTATCTTGGCGAGGCGGCTGCCTTGCCAAACTCCCGCCCCCGCCTCGCCAACATTCCAAAAAAAAAAAAGNTTAATAGTTCATAACCAGTTGGTTCTTTTCCAGTTGATGTCTCACCACTCTAACTTTGATCAGACAGATACTCCAACTAAGAGTTTGTAGAATGCGGTCAAGACCATAACTCACTCTCACAATATTAAAAGTATAATATAGGGTGATCAGACGTCCTCTTTTTCCTGGACATGTCCTACTTTTCATACCTAAAAAAATGTCAGGGGGAATAGGTGGGTTTTAGTCACGTGATGATTATGACGCGGCCAGGGGGCGCGATTTCAGATGGAGGGCAGGAAGTCTATGAAGTTAGCGTAAACATGGAGGACACCGTTACCGAGAGCCCGTATTGTATGGAGTTAGAGCCTGATTCAAGACATAGATACAAGGAGTTGATTGACAGATATGTTGAACGTGACCCGTACCTCATGAAGATGAGTGAATTTTCGGTGGACCTTAAAGATTTGCCGACAGTGGAGGCCGTTGACATAACAAACTATCTGGTCCTTCAGACGTCGTATTACACCAAACAGCAAATGAAGGCCTATAAAAGTATGGAGGTAGCTAACTTCTTTGTCGGCGGGTGGGTCCAAAACCTCGCCACTAAACGTCTCCACGACGATCATCGTTTAGTCTTCGCCAGGGTGAGTGTTTGTTCTTATATTGTTTTATGTGTTAAAAGATGCTAGCATTAGCAGTAGCGGCTAGCCTGACAGTTGTTTATGCTTCATCCTCTTCTCTCGTTGAAGAGATGCTTCTGATTTGGGCTTAGTTTTTTGGTAACCAAGGTTGACCGTCAGAGCCCAGTCTACCGGCTCAACGTCACCCAAAGCGCTAGGACAGCATAAACAGTCACAATGAAGTCCATATTAGACTACCGGTAACTTATTAATCTTTACTAAGTAAATGAGCATTTAACGACAACCTTATGCTATATAAACACAACCACAAAAAAAAGTTAGCTAGCTAACATAACGTTATAGCGGTCGCTGCAGACACGGGCATTGGCAGACTCTGCTCCTCCAGACCGCAGACGTAGGTTTAAAATCCATTTTTTACGCCGTTGTTCTGTGAGCTTTTTACACTTTTCACGTTTATGAACGACAATCTTTGGTACTCTGTAAAAGCTCTTTTCCTTTTCTCGGTTCGAACGATTGGAGCAGCCGTAAACTACACAAAACATAGGCATTATTTCAGATGGCAGATCCTCGGCTACTTCGCTTCCTGCCCTCCATCTGAGTTTCGCGGCGTCGCGAAGCAGCACTGTGACGTCACGTGAAACCAAGCTATTCCAAAATAGTCTGGGATTTTGGTCACTACAGCGCAGCAGAACCGAGCCGTCAGCTCCGTGGTGAAGTTGGTTGGAAGTTGGATATTGGATATTCAAGCCTAGGGGTCAGAGGGATCTATCTCAAGGTTGATCCGACTGAGGGACTCCGATCTCGGCCAGCGTCTCTCAGCTGCTCCCTCCTTTCACACGCGGTGGTGCAGTTAGGGACCGTCAACAAATCTTTGAACCAAGCACTCTTGAGAGAAAAAAAAGCAATAAATT